GAGGAAAAAAAAGCATTAAAAGAACAATAAACCCACAGACTACTCTGTCTCTCCTGTTCCAATGGCCATGGCACCTCCCCTTTGGTTTTCCATCACAGAAAGGCTTCCTGCACCCAACCTCTTGCAACTAGACTCAATACTTCAATGCAAAGAGAAGAATATTTTTTAACCCAGCAAGCAATGATTTATGTACAAAAGGATGATGATCTAAACTTCTTCAAAAATAATAAGAGTCATCTAATCTGTCAGAGGCAGATGCTCTATTTTATTTTTTGACATTTAGAAGTGTCATGACAACATCACTATGGAAACTCCAGATTAGTAGCCCCAGTTTGTGCCAGTTGTCACTCAATAAACAAAAGCAGATTTTTTTTTTAACCAGGGATACACAGCAGCTGTTGACAATCACACTGCATTTAAACTTAGTTTTCAGAAAGCATTTGATGTACTGTCAACAATCAGTTAAATTGAAGGTGAAGATTGATGCAGGAACTGCACACCAAGTATGCCACTGGCTAAGAAAAAGATAACAAGATATTTGGGGAAAAGGTACGCTGGAGGTGATGACGTTAACAGCAGTATACTGCAGGCTAGTCCTCGCAAAGCATCAGGGAGAAAAGGCTGTGTCTGCACTGGCAACAGAGCAGAGAAGCGGAGCAAAAGTGCATACAGGGGTTCAGAAGCTGATGTCACTAACGACAGCTGAAGTACATTCAAAGTGGTTTTATACAGGACCTTCTAGTTTACGCTTCTAGAAAGGGACCTAGTCCATATGCACTAAAATTATTCTGAGAACCAAATAAGCCCAAACTAAGTTATGAAATTCAGATTGATTGATACCTACACAAGTTCTCTAAAACGCTAAAATAAGTATTTCAGATTAGTGATGTAAGACAAAGAAAGAACCAGTGTTAAATCATTAAAATCAACTTCTGATTTCAGCGTTTTAAGAGAAGCAGTGAAGATGCTTGAGAACTAACCTTGATTAAGCCTGTGAGACACTTAGTTCTTTAAATATTTGATAAATAATGCATAATAAGCTCTAATGACAATATACCAAACAGGGAAGATAAAACTGACAACTATTTGTTAAGTACTATTAGCAAATTGCTCATTCATTACCAATCTGTTTTGTAAATAAGACACCATCTCTTCCAGGTGTTGTTCTTGCAAACAGTACTTCATAAAAGATTAAAAACATGAGACACTTAATGATAATTCAAAAATAAGAAAAATATGCTACATGATTATAGGGAATTTGCAGATTGTTTTCATTAGAAAATGCAGATTAAGAGTCTGCTGAGAAGATTAAAGCAAGGAAGCTGCACAGTGAGCAAGTAACTGGATCTTTGCAACTGCCTAATACGGAACCACTGCTCTCACTCACATGCTATGAAGTCTTATTTGTACTAACCCTTTCACATCATCTTTCTACTTCTGCTTACTATAAGCAACTTTCTCTTTTGAAATTAGGTTAAAAAATAAAAAGTTTCTAAATGCACAGAACTCTTCCTTTGACAGTGTAGAAGCTATTCATTTGTGATTGTCTTCAAAATACATAGAGCATACTCAATAATTCTGCGCAGTATACATGTATGCAGATGTTAAAATGCTCTGCTGAAATGAAAAGACAGTACTATACTACATTTCTTTTTTTCTGTTCTCAATAACTGAAAAGTGAGACAGAAGCATTCTAAATATCAGAACATGCGCAGTGAAGGCTTCAATACTTCCAAACGACTACAGGGGAAAAATATTAGAATATACCGTAGCTTTAACTAAATTACTTAAAATACAGTTTAATAATTTCTTAATTTTTTTTACTGTTCATCACTAACTTTGATGCTTGGGCATATCCTCATTGACTGCTATGGCAGATTTACAGGAGATGAAAGGAAGAGATCATACCTCCACCTATGCTCTGATTCAATTAATCCCTAATTAGCAGTTAATACATAAAGAGTTATAGCTTCCAATAAAAGTTATCAATTCATTTATTCGAGCAGCATTTCATTTCTGCAGAGTAGTTGAATAGAAAAGGCTCCAACTATAGCAAACCTTACAGTGTAAATATCTAAAGTAACTGGTAATTTATCCCTTCTAAAGGTCAGCACTACTCTCAATTTACTTTCCTGATTTAAAACTCAGAGTAATTCCATTTTAAAATAAAAAGAAAGAAACATAATAGACATTACGTACTCTGCCAATCCTAGTATTGTTTCTCTCTTGTACTGTCCATCTGCTGTAAACCTCTGCACATCCACACCTTTGCCAAGTCCTTGCAGAATCTGAGCTTGAGTGAAATCCAACAGTCGCTCGTTGTAGTAATGCAGCTGATTTATCAAGGTTGCGATTTCTTCAGGCCAGTCAGCATAACCGTACTGAGTCACGTGTTTTGTGACCATCTGAATCAACTCTTTTGGATCAGCCTATGAAAACAATTGAAAATAAACTAAAAAAAAACCTCTGTAAATTTATGGGAGAAAAAAAAAAAAAGATTATAATGCGTTTAGAACAAAAAATATTTTTTTCCACTTCTGTAAAGTTCTAAGTACAACAGAATTCCAAGTTTTTGTAAGAGCTATTTGCTACGACATTGAAATATTATTTTTTTTAAGCTTTCGACTATTCCAAAAGCTACAAAAATTCAGACTTACCTAACCAAGTTAATAGAAGCAAGTATTTCACTACAACTGAATTAATTTGTTCTTAAATCCCTCATTTTTATTAAGATTGAACTAGACAACTGATTGGTAAAACACTTCAAGATATCGAAGAAAACTTACCAAATCTCTCCTCGGTTACAAACAATATAAGCAAGTTGAATTTAAAACAGACTCTATCTCAAAAATAAGAATGGAAACAACACTGTGAACTTTCTTTGTTGCTGAATTTCTGTACAGTTGTATTACACAAAACTGATAAAAGGAATAGCTTAGCATTTTAAGTGTCTAGCACTGATACTTTCGAAGAATAGGAAGAATTGCAGGATTTGAAAATTACACACAAGGCACTGCCTACACCCCGAAACCTTCAAATAATTAAATATTGATCCTCCATGGATTAGCAAAACCTTTGTTTTCAACATACTTTCATCACAAATGAAACTTAAATTTCTCTCTTGGAAATTATGCACCAAGTGCGTATTTAACTTCTGTATTCAAAAACCCACATAGCCAAGGAACAATTTAGATCATGAAACAAGTACAATTTGCCTGTTTAAAATGAGAAAGGAGCACATGTACTGCAGAGATTTCCCAATAATCTCAAGATGTGGACACTCAATACCTTGATTTCTCTCTTCCATGAAAAACGAGGCCAACAGCAGCAGAATGCCATAAGGAAGCACCGTGACCTCTGTGTAACACCCGCTGAGGCAGGAGTGCCACCAAAAAACCACCTGGACGTGCCAACTGCAGCCGAAATACTCTCCCAAAGAATCAGCTGATTTAATTGCTGTGATCTCAAAAAAACTACATACTGGACAAATATTATTACAGAATATTCCTGCTAAATTAGAAGCTCAACTTATGAACACTAACTAGAGTAAAACACGCCCCAAATGTTTGAAGCCTAAGGCATGTCTGAATTTTTCCAGGACTTGCTGGTCATTCTAAATTGATTTCTTTCTTTCTTTTTAAGTCTTAGCAGACAAGCTTCTCACTAAGCCATATTAAATGCTACAGGGCATTCTTTTTCTTCTCCACATGACAGTCTTCTGAAGCCCTCTAAACATTGCAAATTCATTGATTTTATAAACAACATCAGTTGTTCTTTCAAGGTTGTTTAGGAGATTGGTAACAGAATAATAAAACCTGAGAAAAGAGATAAGCAAGCAGAGCAGTACCTCTACGATACAATTGTATCGACTGGAAACCAATCCACTGCTTATTATGTGCCCTGGTATCTCATTTTAGGTGAACACCAGAAAACAGAGCATGGAGACAGTCAAAGTCAGACCAAGACAAGAAAACCTGTTTAACATAAACTGTTTAAATCCTCTGTACAGTTCACTGAGAAAGGCAGGTTCCTTTGACAGCCTGTGAGGACAAACTGACTTCTGTTAGGTGTTCCCTCTCTCAATTAAGAGTAGAATCCAGTGCACGTCCCACCTGGCTGCTCATAAACTACACAAAGATAATCTTTAACGTAGTTTCAAACAAATATGCCAGAACCTCTTTTTGAGAAACAAACTTCTGAAGGTGAAAAGATAATATTTTTAATAAGTTTACTGAACAGCACCTATTTTTTCACCCCTAAGCAGAACTAAACTTGAGTATTTACAACAATAACTTAAAATAATACTCACTGCTATGAATGGTAGATTAAAACCATTTTCTTCTTGGTCTACTGTAGTCTTCAATACATGGGGCAATCATCATCTTTAAACATGAAATTTCTTGTTTAAAAAATAATTTGCCCCTTTACTTCTAATGACAATATTCTAAGTTATCACCCTCTCAGAGGACATAGAATCATAGAATGCATTGGGCTGGAAGGCACCTTTAGCGTCCAACTTTATTCCTTGTTTGTTACATTTCCCTA